GCGACGCCGGCTCGTCTGAGAGGCGAGGAAGGGATAGACGTCTAGTCCGTAGGGTATCTAGGAATCTTGCAGTGGCACTCCGAGGGAGGCGGCTTCGATTTGACTTGGCCTACGATGTCTGAGTTGTCCGGACAAGTTTCGCGTTGAGGCCGTCGTGATAACGCGCTATGGTAGCAAGGGGAGATGGCGCATAGAAACGGTACCTTACTTGATTGAAGTTTCCTAGTGTGCTACCGCAGCAACATATCCTCGTTCCCCTCGCACCTCTATCTCGTCTGATTCACGGTAATCCCTCGTCCCTGCCTCCCTCCCGTGCTATATTCGCCTCAAGATGTCGCACCACTTATCTCCCTGTGTCGCAGTGCCAGAACAAACGCCCCGTTCTCGTGCAACCTACTCATTCTCGCTGTGAACACAGCTGATACTCGCGACGCGTGGGTATCAGTGGGCTCGCCCATCGAGGCCGGGGCCGTACGCGCCTTGCTCAGGGCGACCGTCGTGGGTGTCTTGGTCGTCAAGGTCTGTCTCTTGCACGCTGGAGCTGTCTGGATCCTGTTCCTGGTCGTGCGGATCGCAGCCGCTCGCTGAAACGCTGGGAGTGCGCGGGGGCGATGGTCATGACGAAGGCGCAACCTGTATCGCTGCGTCCGCCGACACTGCTCCTTGGCCAGAGAGCTGGGGACCGGGTTGTGTCTCGCCCGGGCCATCGGCTGGGAGGTGATCGGCAGGTGAGGAAGCCGTGGATGTTCTCCACGTCCTCCCAGGTGTCGAAGGCGCTGACGCCGCGAACTACGGAGGCAGTCCGGCGTCCTGTGATGGTGTGCGCTGGCTCGCCTCGCTGCTGGCCGCGTGGGCCGGACTGGTGTCACCCGCCTGGCGAGGGGATTGTCCGCCCACGCGGCTGCGCAACGTGATGGCCTGTGCAAACTTTGCCACAGCCCTGCGCAACTCGCGGCACGATGCGGACTAGCTGAGGGGATTCGAGCCCTAGGGTGCCGGCTAGTCCTTCTCTTCGTCCGGCCCTCTAGATCGCCCTTCTACGTCCGCTTGCGTACGCTAGTAGGTTATATAGCGGTAGTACTAGCGTAATTTCAGACGCTAGTAGGGCGGGAGGGTAGATAGCCCTTCTGCGTAAGCTTAACGTGCCTTTCGGCTAGGTCGATTAAAATATAGCGATATATCGGGGGCTCGTAAGTACGCTTAAGTACTATATAAGTTATAAGGTAATAGCTAGCCTCGCCGAGCGGATATTAGGGTAACTAAGTAAGAAAGTAGCGTTTCGTTTATTTCACGGCTACTTTACTAACGGTAAAGAAGCGACGGTATTAGCTAAGGCTTTCTCTAGCACCGGAATTATAGCTATAGAAGTCGAGGCTAGTATTTACCGGAGGCGTTATCTATATACTATACTATACGTCTAGCTTCTAGCCGTAGGCGAGGGAGACAAGCTATCGATTATCGTCGTGCTTATTATATATAACTATAAGCATAGGAACTATAGAGTTTAGCTAACATAGGCAGCCTATATATACTATATATAGCCTAGCTCGCCGTGCGCCATACGAATCGTGAGTCTTCCTCTGCGTTCTAACTCGCGGCACGATACGGACTAGCTAAGGGGATTCGAGCCCTAGGGTGCCGGCTAGTCCTTCTCTTCGTCCGGCCCTCTAGATCGCCTTTCTACGTCCGCTTATATACGCTAGTAGGTTATATAGCGGTAGTACTAGCGTAATTTTAGACGCTAATAGGGCGGGAGGGTAGATAGCCCTTTTACGTAAGCTTAACGCGCCTTTCGGCTAGGTCGATTAAAATATAGCGATATATCGGGGGCTCGTAGGTATGCTTAAGTACTATATAAGTTATAAGGTAATAGCTAGCCTCGCCGAGCGGATATTAGGGTAACTAAGTAAGAAAGTAGCGTTTCGTCCGTTTTACGGTTACTTTACTAGCGGTAAAGAAGCGACGGTATCGGCTAAGGCTTTCTCTAGCACCGGAATTATAGCTATAGAAGTCGAGGCTAGTATTTGCCGGAGGCGTTATCCGTGTGCTATATTACACGTCTAGCTTCTAGCCGTAGGCGAGGGAGACGGGCTATCGATTGTCGTCGTGCTTATTATATGTAACTATAAGCACAGGAACTATAGAGTTCAGCCGACGCAGGCAGCCTATACATGCCATATATGGCCTAGCTCGCCGTGCGCCATACGAATCGTGAGTCTTCCTCTGCGTTCGCTAGGTCTCGCGCGAATCCATACAGGACGCCGTGGCCGTCTCGACGCGCCAGCTGCCTCTACCTCCTTCGAGGCTTGGGCCTTGGCGGTGCCGTCTGCATGTAGCCCGCGGTCATGGCAGCGGCAGAGAGGGCAGGCGATTGGGACGTGGGGTGTGTAGACAGCGAGGCCGTGTCAGACGCTGCCAATGCATTCATAGCAGAGCGAGTGCGACGTGCACGGAGGGGGCTCGTACGGTCGTCCAGACCCTTTGGCAGCGAAGTCATGTGAGGGCTGGCGTTGGCACCGTTGGTTCGTTTCGTGTTGCGTTGTGCTCTGCTTTGACGAGGGGAGGCTTATTGGTACTTGCTACGCGAAGCAATCAAGGATGTGTCGCCGAGTCGAACAGAAATGTCTTTGTCTATACTGGACAGGCGCACGGGGGCCACAGTCGCAAGGACCACCGACATGGCCGTGGTGAGCGATGGGTGCGCGCCCAACCACACGGGAAGGCAAGGCTTGATAGAGCCAGGGCGGGGACGGGACATTAAACATCAGGCAGCTCCGTCCGATACTCTTAGGTACATTGATGCGGAGACGTCGCGTCTGGTGCGCCGTGCGCGTCGCGCGACAGGGTGACGCGGCTATCGCCACGCCCCCAAGGCGCATTTGCTCCGTGTCACCATAGCATTATGCAGAGGCTCGTGCAAGACAAAGACACGCCAACTAACAGCCGGGCCTCAAGGCGCAACCGCCTGGTCATCTCGACGTGCTGGTAGTAAGTGATACTGTCCGTGCGTCCATGGGCATCCGCCCTCCATCCCAGCACATCGAGCACCGCCGTGCGGCTAGCCCGCCCTCGAATGCTTCGGACCATCGTCAGCGACCACGATGCGCGTAAGAGTACCGTCGGAAGAAGTAATCTGCTTGTCGAAAGAAGTAGATCGGCTGGCATGTGCCGCGCAGTCCATGTGAGCATCGCGCCCTGGCTAGGCCCGATTACCCGTGGCGAACAGTCTTCACGATCGAGAATGAGGCATCCAGACCGCTGTTCCGCTCAGCCCAAGAACACCGTTCCCCGACGCGTGCCCATCGACGCTGGCAGCTGGAGTCATTGGCGATCATGCTGCACTCTGCACCTACCTACGGGCCCAGGGCGCCATGAGCTCGACAACAGACTCGCACGGCCGGTGCTCGTGACGGCCAACCATCGGGCTACGGTAACTCGGACGCGCACGCTGCCCCCCGCCACTGCTCTCCGATGCAAGTGCAACAGCGCCTGCTGAGCGTGTCGCTCGATACCTATGCACTTGTGGTCTGCCCTCCCTAGTGCGCGGGAGCAGGGAAGAGAAACACGTCGTCTGTCCGGGTAGCGCGACACATGTGGCAGCGGTGGATGGAGGAGCGGGCGCGATAGAGATTGGATCCAAAGGCGAGCCCAGGCACCATCGCAAAAGCAAGACCGATGTGGTGGGACCTGGACATGACGGGCGGCAAGATGTCAGAGGCGCGAGATGTCTGGCGCGAGGGTCAACCACTCCATGGGGCTCGGGATTGCTAGCGTGGTGACCGTGCGCAAATTGGACTTCTAGCATCCTTTGCGATGGTTCACTCCAAGCATCTCATCTCTCCCGCCATAGAAACTTGTTGAGTCACAGTGTCTCTGACAAGTCTTGGGGCTGCACTAGACGACGAGATGCAGTCATTGAACCTACCGGAGCCGCCAATGTATACGCGTCCTACTGTCCTGCCCAGACCGTCGGCGATGGGTGCACTCCATCGCCTCCGTCCACCCCTGGCGCGATGCGTACGCCCGCCGCGGACCTGACCTCGATCAACGAGCAACGCGCGGAGGCACTGAGCACCTTGGTCGGTCCAAGGGGGGCCTGATGGCGTGTGATGGGAACGCCCGTGGAGCAGCAAGGATGCGCCTGGGCATGTCCACCCGGAGATCGGCCACACCGCTACGACGAGCGCGGCAGCGATATCAGCTTGCTTCGTTTGCTCATTGCTTCCGTTTTGCCAAAGGACAGGCTTTTTTCGCAAGCCGGGCGGAAGCTGTTTATCTAGGACTCTTTGGGGTTACCTCCCGCACCGAAAATTCGACTCGCAAGCCCGTCTTTATTTTCAGAGTAGTTGCGACGGGAGTGACTGTACTAGATGTATCTGCCTCCGATCAAAACACACGTAAGAAAGGCTAAGCCCATGTGCATCGTCGGGTGCACGGTGATCCAAGAGGAGCCATCATTTGCCCCAGTATGTCGGACCTATCGTCTGCGAGATTCTCAAGCTTCCTCCAGGCTGTGCCTTTTCCTCCATCCTCGTTCCGCTTGCTGTTGCATCCGACAGCCCAGTGCTCGGCACCTTTGCGGTGGAATGTGCAACCAGAAGCCAGGCTTCCTCGTCGGATCACAGGGACTCGCGGGAGAGTTCTCTGTAACCGCAGGGCTAACATGAACGATTCAAGCTGTCTTTTGTTCTCGTATTTCGGCGCCCCGTCTGTGGGAGGTGCCGTCTGCGTTGGCGGCTTGCAAAGGTGGTTGATCCGCTGTTGGCAGCGGGCTGCTGGCATCTTCGTCTTCCCAGATGACGAAGCCCAGAGGCTCACTTGTCGCTCTCATGTCGTTGTTCGGGGCCGCGCCTCCTTCGGTCCCCTCGCTGGCATTATACAAAGGCTAGCGGAAGGGAAACACTCAGCCCAGTGCTCAGAATAGTCCTTTGGAACAAGCCCCCAAGGCCGCTGGACGATGCTGACTTCATGGTCACGGGCATGCCATAACGGAGGCAAACTGCAAGGAAACAACAAAGGTGCTGTTGTCGTATCGAATGGTGACGCGCAATGACCTCTCATGTCGCGTGGGCTGGTTTCTGCGTCAATGAGATGAGCCTTCTAGATCCAGTCAGTTGCCCATTCATCAACCGGCACATGGATCGATGTTGGCGGAGAGGACCTCACGCGTACATTATGAAAGGATAGTCACGGGACTCGTATTGTTTTTATCAGCGATCTAGCGACGTAGCGAGCCCCGGAACCTCTCCGGTATCGTCACATTATAAAGAAGCGGCCATTGTCCCGTCCACTCGTCAAGGTCGAATCCCCACATGTCTTTCACCACATCACCCGAGTCTTCAAATTCTTGCTGGTGTGACTCGGGGACGGTGCGGAGGGGTGCGGACCTGTCCGTCGTGGCCAAAATCCGTACGAGCACGCACCCGACCCCTGAGTTTGTCACCCAGCCGCCACCTTGATAAACGTCCTCATCTGAGTCGTAGTCTGGTCCCTCACATTCGGCGAGGATGAGGTCGAAAGCGTAAATACAGCCCTGCCAGGACTCTATTGTCTCGCCCGAGGGGTAATGGGGTATCTTGTCACCGCAGCCTGACTGGTTAGGGGCCCAACCCATGATAGCCCAGACGTAGTAGTCTCCTGCGTCGTATTCGTAGATTTTGGCGACATCATTAGGTCGAAGCACAAAATCTTGATTACAAAATCCTGCAACGGCCGGGTAGCTGCCATCGACGCTGAACTTGGCGTTTTCGGGTGGATCGTAATCCTTGTAGCACGCAGGCATGACTTCGTCGATGTCATTGTTTGTGGGATAGGCGTAGGACACCGTCGAGGTCGGTCTCTCCGTTTTGGAAGTTAAGGATTCGGCTTCACCAAATGTCCAGTCGCCAAGCTCACTGAGGTAGGCGATGGCGCTCACGGCGGCGCTGAGCGTCTCGCTGAAAGGAAGAGGAGGTTCGCGTGGGTTGGGCCTGGCGCGGGTGTTCGCTGCGATGGGCCCCATTGTCATAGTCTCCGGGATGTCCGACGTCGAGATACACTCAGTCACCTCGCTGCAGCTCGCAGTGCAGAATTCGGTTGAGGCCTGTATGCAGATCTCGCGGCACGAATCGAATGTGATCTCCTCGCAATCGTTATCTGGGTCATTTGGGCCCGTGGGTCCCGCAGTCGGGTACGGCAGTGGGCTCCTGGGATCAACGGAGTCTTGAAAGCCTTTTTGTCTGTCAGAAAACCTTCACGAAGTCAAATACACGGGGACTTGAGCAGTGTTTGCTACTTACCGGGAGGATGCGCGTCACGCCAGTTACAGTTGAACAGGCAAGGCTTGTCACACAAGAACCGGCACAACATACCGCAGCCCGACCTACAGAGTGGACCATCGGGACCCGTGTTGTGGATAATAGGTGGGCCAATAACATCACTGTCATAGTCGTCCTCTTCCTCGTCCTCGTCCTCTTCATTCTCAGGCCAAGGCCATGGGGGAGGATAGATCGTGCGGGTGTTTGGGGGCACGCTGACGTTGGTCGGATCCGATGACTTGGCCTTGTTGGTGATGACTGTAGTCGGCACCACGATGCTGTGAGTGACGCGGAACGTGGTGTCGGTGACATTGTCGGTGATGACAACGTTGCGCACAGGCATCTCGGTCAGCGTGACAGGCGACGGGGTGATGACTGTTGTGTGCGTGATACTTTTATACACAGTCGTCGTGATAGTCGAATAGCCCCGCTCAAACTCGGTGCTCGTAAACCAACCGACCTCGAGTGATGTCGTATACTTACGAAATGAGATGGTAGTGGATAACTGCAATAGGATCGGGGGGAAGACGTAGGTGCAAGGCGGGTAACACTGAACGGTGCCCGTCTTGCCATCATCAACGTCCCAGATCCCGGGGTCGATATAAACGACGCCTGAGCCGGAATCCGAATCATCCTTAGCGCCCTCACCTTGGAGATCGATCGCCCAGTCCGAGATTCCTCCAAAGTTCCAGTCCTTGTACTTTTGATACCGCCGAGACTTGGTGAGTTCGGTCATGTAAGCCACCCATTCCACAGCGTTATATACAAGGTAGTCGGAGTCCGTCTTCGAATCATACCAGCTCTTGATGGCGCCTCCCTTGTCAATGATCTCCTCGATCTCAAAGTTGGATATGTAGCCGCTCGTTTCTGTGCACCTTCCCTTCTTTGCTGGAGAATCATTTCTCCCGCCCAAGAAAGTGCCTAAAGGTGTTATGTTGAGTCAATGTCCCGTCGTTTGTGCGAGGACTTAGGTAGCGCAGAGGTGAACTTACACATTTCTCCCCGGCATGTCGCATCTGCCATCTTGAATGAACGTCCGTAGCTTGTGACGCCGACCACCACCTTGTGCGATAGAACGCCGGCCTTTGTCATCATGACAAGCGAGTCGAACGTCTGGGTTGCATTGACGTGAGAGCGCAGGCAGTTTCCAGCTTCGCAGCCATCCATGGACCATTCTCGTCCAACGTCCCATTGGCCTGAGATAACGCGCAGAGTCAGTTTTCGTCGAGTTTGTTACCATATCATTCAAGCACGACTTACCATGAAGATCGTAGGTCATGAAGATGATGTAGTCAAGCACTGGCGCCATGTCCTTAATAGGAAAACCTTTAAGGTACCAGAAGGAGGCAGCAGCAGCAATGGCCAGGCTCTTGTCGCTTGGGAGCTTCTGACGAACAAGCTTCAGGAAGGCAAGGTAATCTTCACCGTCCTGCTCTGACCCTGGTTCGGATCCTTCAATGTCTGTGGCGCCGGGATACTCCCAGTCAAAATCAAGTCCGTCCAGATCGTGTTTCAAGGCAAACTCGACAACCCGATCCGCAAACTTTTCCCGGTTTGCGGACGACACAGCCTTTCGGAACAGGCCTGAGGTGGCTGGAGCATTGGAGAACTCCCAGCCGCCAAACGATAGGATCTTCTTGTAGTCTGTCTTGGCTTGAAAGAAGGCGTCCCACTGCGCTTTGTGGTCATCCTTGATGACAACCTCCAGATCGGGGGAGAACTCGCCGAATGCAAAGTGAACATGGGTATAGCCCTTTTTTATGTCGTTGACGTGCATGTTTAGACATGGACGATTGTAGTTCCAGCCTTCAAAGTACCCAATGTTCCTGTACTGACTTGGGCCCTTGTCGTTGTTCACCAGTTCCATGCCGCAGTTATCAACGCAGCCGTTCTCCCCAGGTTTCGACGGGCCCGGATTGCCCGTACTGGACTGGGACTTGATGCAAAAGTCCTTTGTGGTGCCGCACTTGCCCCAGATGTTGCAGCAGACATCCAGAGGGCAGGGATTCAGCTCTGCCAATTCCTATCCGTCCTTGGGAGCTTTGGATCCCGGAACGGTCGGTCCGCAGTCAGCATTCTCGACAGAATTAGGCATGGGGGGACGTCCCTCGCTGACACAGCCAATCTGCAGAGCGCAGCCAACCCAGCCCCACGTTTTCTCGTTAAGATCGAACAAGTCGGCTTGTTCCAAACCGTACGATCTGGCAATCATGTCGCAGCCTTCATCCGACTTCACCTCATGGTAGTGACAGCTTCCATCCGCGTTTGGGTCGGGCGTGAGATCTAGAAGAGTGCCAGAGGAGCAGCAGACGGGCTGTCCCGGCATAAGCGTCGTTCCGCACAACCCCTTGTTGAAGCTCTTGAAAGCAGTGAGACCGATTCCGCACCGTGCAGCGAGTGAGTCACAGATATCAAGATACTCGACCTTGATACTGCGACACTCAGCTCTAACGTCGAGTCGTGTATCCGTGTGACGGGACGATACCGTGGTGGACTCAGAATTGTTTCCACTCGTGACTACCCATATCAATGAGTCGACGGTAGGCAGGCTCTTGGCTCTTGTAGTCTCGGAGACACGCCTACCCTCGTTCCAAGACCTCATGATCTGCTGCACCGCGGCAAAGTCGCCACTTGCATCGGTAACGACGCCGAACAAGTCTGCCGCCGTGCAAAAAACCTCGCACATATCCAGTGCTTTTCTCTGACCTTGAAATTCGTCATTTTTCAGGGCGTCCATGACTTGTTCAAGCATGGCGGCGGAGGTCTGGACCAGATCGACTTGAGAGCCAGCGTAAAGACCGATGAGAGTGCCGTGGTAGTATGCGAACATGACCTTCTTGTCGCAGAGCGAGCGCTCCTTTGCAAGTCTCTTGCTGAGAGCATCGGCAACGCTGATCAGGTCTTCCGCTGCGTTGCCGCTAAGGATTTCCCCCGAAGTCTCCCACCGACTCATGTGGACGGGAACGCTTGACTTGGTGACGCTGCGCGTGCCGCAAGTGGAATCATTATTTTCCTTGGCATCTTGATCACGTCGGTCGAGACCTTCAACATCCTTGGCATCGGGAGAAACGTAACCAGTGTCTGCGAGATAATTGACGGTGCTCTCATCGTCGCCTAGAGTGCAAGCGCGGATGGTCGTGTGGGCATCACGGTCCCCGACCTTGGTGTAGATGTTGAAGTTGAGCAGAAGGGGTTCATCGCAAGTAGCCAACTCTTTGACATCATGGTAGACGAACCATTTTGTCTCATTCTGAACGCTATCGCAAGCTCTAGGGCAAGGTTGGTTGCTTGTCAAGCTCCAGCCTCTCGAATTGCGACGACACGAAGCCTCTTGTAAAGGGTGTAATGAAGCACAGCACTAGCAGCTGGTATGACCAGGCGCCACGCTGGTGCCACATCTTGGACAAAGAATGTAACGCTACTGAAGAGTGAAGAATACAAATTAAGAACGAAACAGGCTCAACACCACGCTCTGCTTTTTACACAGCCTTAAGCAAAAGACCCAGATCTGTTTTGCATGTAATACGGACTTGTTTGTACTTGATGTTTTAGAGGATCGACAGGCATAAAGGCTGCACCTTGTGAAGGCGGTGCGGACCGCCTGTTCCTTTTTGGTAGGCGTTAGCTACGGCGGGATATTAGATCACAAGGTGCCAACGGTATCAACCCCCGCAGTGCAACGACACCATACCGGTGGCCCCTCCTATACTTTGTAACCTATATACTTTTTAACATGCCGCCACGAACGAATATCGAAAATTATCAGGCCTTAATTTTAGATGCACGCAATAAGGGCCTCTTAGCGACTTAGATTCTTAAATTTCTAAATGATACGATCGTTGGTAACGGTGGGAATCCTATGTTAAAAATCACGCTTAAAAGAGCGCTAGTATTATAGACTGCCCCTCGTCTAATAGCCCGCTAGACCCTGACTATCTTAGAAGACTATATTTGCGGCTAGTATTTCTTAAATACCCTAATTAATAATATTCTCGAAGATACTAATTTGCGGCTATAAGAAGCTAGTGATCCTATTATTAGTAGACGGACCTTGCTACGCTAGCTAAAGGCGTGGGGCTTGGATATAAGATACTAGGCGCTGGATATCCCGGACGCCTTAATCGATCGGATTAAATACCTCTTCTTTAACTTCGGGCTATCCGATATATCGATTCTACGGGAGCTTTATTAAGGAGGCTTCTACGCCTACCTCTCGGCTATAAAGAAGGTCCGCTAGTAGCACGGTATAAAACGCCGGGTTAGGACCGTTAAAGAATAATAAGAGAGGCTCGATAACGCCGTCGAATTCCTCTACTAAGACCTCTAGAGGAGCGGCGCGGCCTTAAGCTTTAGCAAGGGCTTGCTATACTAATATATTCGTTAGAAGGGGCAAATTATAGTCTTATAGCGCCGTCTATACGATATTTATCGGGCTGCTTTTCTAGAGGAAGTCGCTAGCCGCTATAATAGTAACTTTAAGTAAAGAGGCGACTTTCGCGTGCCCGGACCGAACTTCTTATAGTCCCTCGATAGCTATAAAAAGCTTAGGAAGGTCGGCTTCTAGATTTACGGTTATATCGACGCCTATTCCCGCTGTATTATATGGTTTTACGTGGGCCGATTAGCAATAACGTCTCTTAGCACGTTAAAATAATATCTTAAGGCCGTCCGGCGCCTATAAAAGCGGCCTTTTTTCACGAGATCTAACCACGGTATAGAGACGCCGCTGTGGGTAGCGGCGTAGGCGTTACTCGCTAAAGCTAGCCCTAAGAAAGTTAAATATACCGATAAAGATAGAAATATTTATTATTATGCCTAAGGCGATCGGCTAGATAGCTATTATTTATATAGCCTAAGCATAAGGAACGTGAGGATCGAGTCTTGGTGGCGGTAGCTGCGGCGTAGCGTTATAGACCGCTAGATTATCTTCTTTAACGACTTAATCGGCTATAGCCTCTTCCGCGAAGATAGCCTCGTCGATTAGGTAGCCGTCTACGCTATCTACGGCGAGATAATCCGCGATGAACTTGCTAACTTTGTTTATCTATGGAATAGGTATATTATCCGTAACTAGAAGAACCGACCTAATATTAGATCTATTATACTAAGGGATTTATATTATATAACCGCTAACCCGGACTAGGGCGTTCCTTTCGATAATAACGACGATAGCCTATAGTAATAGCTTCTTCGCGAAATATAGGAGCCTCTCGAGACGATAGATATCGATAGTCTGCTACCCGCCGAGACAAAGGCTTAGTATAAGGCATAGCTCTAAGGGCTTGGCTTCGAGGCTAACCTAGTAGAAGAGGATAACCTTAAAAGGCCGTTTATTAGCTTTTATTTAAAGCTTCGCGAGATTATCGAAAAGCACTAGAATTCCGGCGTATAGCCTATCTTAGCTATCTTATAAGTTCATACTAGTAGCGCTGCCGAATACTAACGTCTGTTACAGTAGAATTACCTCGACGATCCAGGTGTAACGGTTACGCCTAACCGTTGCGCCATAGGCAAAAGATCAGGCATTGATCGAATGACGAGCGATCAATACAGGCGTAATAGCTGCTTATAGGGGGTTACGAGGGACTAGGTCGTAATATTAGCTCCCCTCCTCCAAGAGGTCGTCCCGACCTCCTAGGCTCTCTACGCACTAGCCTCGCTAGCGCGATCCTAGCAGCTACTAACCCCCAAGGCGTTCCGCAATAGTTATACCCAAGCTATTCACGCGGAGCCTTATTAGCGGCGGGGCTCGAACAGTGGACCTCGAATAGCAGCCCCCTGCCCGACCGGGCTACTAGCTCTTTTCGATCAAATTATAACGGTTACGCCTAACCGTTGCGCCATAGGCAAAAGATCAGGCATTGATCGAATGACGAGCGATCAATACAGGCGTAATAGCTGCTTATAGGGGGTTACGAGGGACCAGGTCGTAACACCAGGCCTCTGTAGTAACGCGATGCCGCCCGAATTTCAGGCATAAATAAGCTAGGCTATCGAGGAAGGGGATAATATAGAATAGATCGCGAAAAGCTTCATTTTACCGCTATATAGGGTAGTGTTTAAAGCCTTACGCGACGGGCCTATGTATATATATGAGATCCTTATACTGCTAGACCCACCGTAATTTCCCCCCTATAACACTATATAATATCCGCGAATATGGCCCTTTCCTGCGTTCTTTCCCTACTAACCGGCGGTATTATATTAAACGGCAGGTCTAATTAATCTCTTACTTTCGGCTATGTGTTTTAACGTCTATTTTAGTAGTAGAAATACCCGAGCCACCGCTATCGATTCCCACGGTCTGCGACACGCACCTATAACGCGAAAAACACGATAGAATACGCGCTACCTCCGTCGGGCTGCTCTACCCCTTCTATAGCCGGCGATAGCCTAAGCTAGTCGAGATCGACGCCCTAGATACGTTTAGCGACCCTCTAACGCCTATAACTATATATAGATCGCCGTTAATTAGCGGCTACGCGTCGTCGGAAGGTCGTGGTATCGCTAAATAAGCGCTACCCCGATCATCCTCGTTATCTTTAACGCGTGGCGATCGCCTTAATAACCTACGTGGCTATATAAGGCAGGCTATTATCGCTATAAGGCCGGCTAAGCTTGTCTCGCTATTTAAAAATCCCTATAGCCTTAAAATCTAAGTCTAGCTAGTCTATTCTACCGGTCGCAGGCTCTAAGGTAGTATCTTTAAAGCCTCGAGCTCTTTATTAATAAGTAAGCCAATTTAGATATTCTAAAATATAGCTAATTCGCCGTAGGTGGAATAGATCTACTACTTATCTCGTGGGCCGACCTTAGATTCCTCATAAAAGCCGATTTTCTAACTATATACCTTAAACCTTTTATTCTTTATAATACCCTTAAAATACTCGATAAGTCGATAATATATATCGGCACGTCCTTCTAGAAGAACGGTAAATAAGAGCCTAGGTAGTTTATATCGGTTTCCTTAAAAAATAACAGCTTTTGGGATATACTAGGCTAAGATAATGATTTCTAGTAGGCTATTAGTAATAGCCGGGTTGTCGTGTGGATTAAGCTTTAATTTATCGAAGATAGCCCTAAAAAGCCTGCCTTAAAGCCACGGAAGCCGCGGTCGAGGGCTAAGTCTACGGCGCTAGGCGAACGGTCGCAAAGGGAATCAACGCTAGCTTTAATTCGGGTTAAATCAGAGCCAAATCTAGCACCCTACGAGCCGATCAGCCTTAAAGCCTTCCCACAAGACCTAGCGGGTGGGACACGTAGCGAGACGGCCCTGTCTAAAGCGTTAGATGATATAGACCTCTTGCTGACTAAGATCGGCGCCCTTAAGGCACCCGACGAAGCAGCCGATAAGGCACTCGCTAAGGCACCCGATGAAGCAGCCGATAAGGAACCCGCTAAGGCACCCGATAAAGCAGCTAATAAGGCACCCGCTGAGGCACCTTATGAGGTAGTTAGGAAGAGGCTAAGGGCGCCTATAGCAGGTAGCGTTAATAAAGAGGTACGACCTCGCCGTTTACGGCGTGAAGCTAGGCTAACCGCCCGGGCGCGGCGGTCGTGATTAAATTTATAGCTATTTACAACCTTACTTACAGCCTCACTTTATAACTAATTAAATACGAATATATATCTTGCTTAAGAACTTTAGCGCCTCCGTGACAACTACTACACGCCTTATATAAAAAATAAATACTATTATCACGAAGTCTGCTATCGCTAGATCATAGCAAATTGATTTATTTATTATAGAATTAAATTCTATGGCGTGCGTAGCTCTTTAGGTGAGGCTATAATGACGAGGGTGCGTATATGTGTTGTGTGGTGGTTGTGCAATTGGTCATTGATACCGTTGGCACCTTGTGATCTAATATCCCACCGTATTAGCGAGAAAAAAGGTGCATAGCGGTAACTCGTTTAATTTCAAGGGCCGGCTACGGTGGGATATTAGATCAAGAACTACCACACCGTATCAACCCCGCAGATATAACGACAGCACACATTATAACCACCCATATATACTAATATCCGTGATTTTTAAGATACCGCCACGTACTAACCTTAATAATTATTAAGAAATAATTCTTAATATATAGATACGTGGGCTTCTTATGAGTAAGATACTCGAATTTCTAAATAACACGATCGTTCGTGATAGTAGTAAGGCTATATTAGAAATCACGCTTAAGAGAGCTCTAGTAACCTAGGCCGTCCCGCGTTTAGTCCCCCGCTAGAACTTAAT